CATACATACATACATACATACATACATACATACATACATACATACATACATACATACATACATACATACATACATACATACATACATACAGACAGACATACAGACAGGCATACAGACAGACAGACATACAGACAGACATACATACATACAGACAGACACATACATACACACACACACTCACACACACAGACACACATACACACACACACACACACAAACACACACACACACACACACACACACACACACGGATTGCGAAATATGAAGCCAGGCAGAGAAAGTGTGAACAGATTTTCCTAATATATCCGCACTTGCTGGCACTTCTCGTCCCAGTGTTTATGACTCTATTGTTACTGAAAGCTTTTTTTTTAAAGGTGGACCCCATACAAGGATATGTTTTTCAGAGTTCCTTAAAACCCAACAGTCAACTGGTCTGTGTGAAGAAGAGCTGGATACAGTTTCAGCAAAACAGAGGTGGGGTAGGTAAGCTGAGAGCTTGATGATGTTATATTCAAGGACATTCCAGATGATTACCTCTGCAATTGTTCTTTTTTGAAAACTGGGGGTGCTCGACTGTGAGAAGCCGACAAGTTAACTTTACAGTTACCGCACTTAACCGTGACGTTGCCAGTTATCGTGTGTGAAAACCTGGATATAACAATATAGTGGTGTGTCATGTCTTCATGTGTAGATAATGTAGTGTTCCGTGAGCAGTGTGCCGTGAACGCAAAGTGTAGCCCACCTGTGTGTAGTGAGTAAAGGTGTGGAGTGTATGAACATTTAGATGTCGGCACATCTACTCGCTAGAGGATGAATTTAAAAAAACATGTTTTCCCCAATAAGTATCTGTTTGCCTGTACTGCAAATATTATGTCCCAGTTATTATACAAATCTTCATTCTACAGCAATATTTTTGGGGGGGTGTTGTTGTTGTTTGTTGTTTTTTTTTTTGGGGGGGGGGGGGAATTTGCTTCTTGTAGCAAACTATCTTTTTTAAATGCTGAATATGCTAATGTATTCATATTTCAAACTACACCTGCTGCGACAAATCAGGGATGGGTCAACGACTTGTAATTGTTAATGAGAGTTTCTGATTTTTGTATTGTGGACAGAAATCTACCTACAACATTGACGTTGGTCTGCTGCTGATCGGACATGCTGTGTGACCGCTAACTTCTCAAACAGTTCATGTACACTGAGTTCAAACGGGAGAAGAGATCCAGCCACTGGACAGCGACACGCCAAAACTCATCTCACAAAACTCCAGCTTTGTCTTGGCTGATGTTATATAGACTTTACTTTTCCGATCCAGCGGCCATTTGGGTTCTAGCCCTTCGGTCTGTCGATATGGCAAAGAATTGACAGGTTTTAATCAGCTGTGCTTTGTCGCTGTATAGAGTGTTTCCGATGTCTGGGGAGGCAGGTAGGTAGGTGCTACACAGGTCACAAAGTGCTGGGCAGTTAAAGAGGTGGTGTGGTACTGTTTCATCCTGGCAGTCGCACAACTGGCAGTCGGGTGGGGTATCCTTGCGGATCCTATTAAGGTAGGAATTTAGTGGTATGTGTTGTGTTCGCAGGCGAAATATTGTGACTTGTTCTTTTCTACTCAGGGAATTTATTGCATCTTTAGAGTTGGGGGCTGTCATGTGTGCAAATACAGTTATATAGACAAAAGTTACGACGTTCCAACAGACTGGGTTACTCCTTTTGAACTTGCTTAATGGAAAAACAAAACAAAACAAAAATGTCTTCCATTTTGAGGATATTTTTCCTCATCTTGGGCGCGTCCACATGTTCCCAGTCCCTGGCGTCTGACCACGCTCCTCGAACTGACGAATACCCGTGTGACGTCACAAGCGACTATGTGCGAGGTGGCAAATACGTCGATTGCGCAGCTCGGGGTTTGACCTCACTTGAACCAAACTGGTTTCCCGAGACAGCGACCACTCTAAGCCTTGACCACAACATGTTGCATAATCTGGTCAGTGGATGCTTCATACATCTGTCCGAACTTCAGGTCTTGACCATAAGTGATTCCCAAGTCACCACAATTCATGTGAGTGGAAAAAATAGATCTCATAATTAATGTTAATCAAGTAGCTGTTTAACTAGATCTATGTCCCGCTTTTTTGTGCCTAATAAATTGTGCATGTTGTTGTTGTTCTTCAAAATCTGAGCCACTTGTCCGAAAATACCGGTTTCTATTTTTTTTAGCTCCATCTTATTACAAAGTCAATCACAATTCCAAAAAGCATACATAATAGTACAACTCCTGTATTTGCCTCAAAATGTGTAGATAGTTCTCCTTGAATAAGGACACAGCAACTGGCATGATATAAAAATGATTTTTACACAGAATGTTATTTCCATTGGGATACAATAACTTGTAAACATTTTCACATGGTCTTTCAATCTATGCTGTCAAAAGCCTTTTAAAGGTTACAAATTTCAAAATAATTGGGACATTCCATTCTTTGCTTTGTTCTACTATATTTCTCAAAATATACACATGATCTATAAATAATCTCTCAGTTCGAAATTCCCACTTGCTTCTCTCTCAGTCATTCATCTTCTGCTATCGTAATACGGGACAAAACAATTGAGAAAAATCGTATTCCAGGCACTAATTAAAATCACTATCCGTCTCCAATAGCTGAAGTGAGACAATATATTTTAAATCTCTTTAAGTGCTCTGCTCAGCGATTCTTCTTATCTTTTATTGTTGTTACTCATGGAGCCATCTTTTTTTTCTATTGGTCCCTCCGATGGGGTTCCACAGTCTCCAGCTATTTTTTTTTGGGGGGGGGGGTGATCTGGTACAATTCTGTCCTGTCGTTTCATATTGTATTAATTGTCTTAAGCATTAAGAACTGCATTTCTATATTTTCCCGTACTTTTCCCTTTCCGTTTGACTTTTGGGGAGTAATTTTCTCTATATTTCTCTTTGGCCCACATTTTAACACTTGCAGGGACCTGCAGCATTTTCAATGTTTCTTCCTTTCCTTCTCTCTCAGTTTCCCATGACCGTATTATTGCTCTCCTCATTTACACGTCCAAAAAACTGTTTACACATGTCCATTTTTCTCCCATCACTTCAGGAGGATGCATTGAGGGGCCTTGGAAAACTAAAGGAATTAAACCTGGAGAATAACAAAATCTATACAAGTCGACTCCCCAGTACCATATTTTCTCACATTCCTTATTTAGAAAACTTGTACCTGAAGGGGAACACATGGGAAAATGAAGGCACTCTGGAATATCCTTTCAGTTCCTCTGTCCCATTCTCTGACCTATCGCATCTGACAAGGTTGTCAATTGATGAAGCCTCGGAAATAATATATTTCGGCCAACCGTTTTCCAAGCTGAAGAATTTGACGTACCTGTATGTATATTGTCCGCATTACGTGGTCAAAGGGTCGAACCGCAGCTTTGAAGGTCTCAGAAATGTGGCTCTGAGAGAACTGGTCCTAGGCGGCACAGGCCAAGAAGGGCATTTTGAAACAGGAATTTTGGCCAATGTTCAAAATCTAGATATTCTTCGAATTCATCATGTCGCTATTGGAAACCAAAATATCATGAAATGTTTATGGCCTTTTGAAAACAAAAGAATGGTTTTAATTGACATCTCGCATGTGTTCTTGCGCCACCATCGAGCCACCCCAACAGGAACCTGTAATGACGGACTCATGACAAAAGAATCACTTAAACATCTCTCTAACATATGTCTTTCCCAGCTGATTTGGGATAATTCCAAAGTGGTTGGTATAGAGCCCATGGCACTAAGCGCAAAACCAAATCTTAGAAGATGTCTGAGGAGTCTTCAATTTACCAGGAATTTAATGGGAGAAATGGATCCTTGGCGAAGTTTTTATTTGGAACTGATAAGATTCGAATCAATAGAGGAGATACAATATGCTGGTTACGAATGGTGTGGCCCAGGATACGATTTCAAGTTCAGGAATGATCATAATGTCAGAAAATCTGGATACGAGACAATTCATAGTTTTAATACCAAATCTACATCTACGGCCCAAACACATGCGCTTCCACATTACAGTAATTCGAAAAATGGAAATGAAAGAGAAAAACTTACTACACCTAGTGAGAACAGCTCATCGTATGAAACGCCAAGTATAAGAATTCCAAGAGAAAGTGAGCGGACGAGATTCGTTTTACGATTCCCTAAACATTTACAGTCTTTCATTATTGTTGGTTTTAGTGGGTATTTCGAGCTTTCAGCTTGGCACATAAGAGACGCTCAAAATGTGAAAGAAATTCGCTTTGTCAGCTGTCACTGGATTGAATGGAGCGGCCCCGTGAGTGGATTGGAAAATGTCACCTTGCTGGACTTCACACGATCTCACGTGACCAGCCGTCCAAACTTTGTCCCTCTTCAACATTTCCCGAATTTGGAAACTCTTGTGCTAAATGCCATGCGGGAGAGCGACTTTATCGATCAACTTTTGAAAGAGAGTTGGCTGCAGAAAACGTCAAGACTCCAGCACATCGACCTACGCGACAACCATCTCCATAAATTACCAAGATATGTTTTTTCTTCCAACTTGATAATGAATGCAGTACGTTTGTCGGGTAATCGGTTGACATCGTTAGGGTTTGACCTTTCACCTACACCAAGCCTTAGTGTCTTGGACCTGCGCAAAAACGTAATCTCTTCCTTAGACCTCGCCGCCAGGACAGCGTTAGACACACACGCGCAAAGGAAACCCGACTTTTCTCTTCTGCTGGAAGGCAATCCCGTATATTGTATGTGTTCTCGGATTCCATTTCTTGGTGAGTAGAGAGCTGCCTTCTTCATTATATTAGCCTGACATCCTCGTGGGGTATCAACAATAACAACAACAACAACAACAACAACAAAAACAACAACAACAACAACAACAATTGGTTGACCTGACAATTGACGACATCGATCGCGGTCAATCTATCTGCTTGACCTTGAATATCAGTATGGCTTCACCGTCTATCTAGTGTGTGTCCGTTTGGGGGGGGGGGTAGAACAGTAGTAATCATTCACAGTTGATGAATCTATTTTAGTCTTTATTTGTGTATTTGTCGACCTGTCCTCGTCTCGCTTTCTGGCTTGGTGGCTCTCGTGGTCTAGAGATTGATTGTTCGCCTCTCATTCAATAGGTCCCGGGTTCGAAACCTGACAGCGACAGAACTTTTTATTTTCTCTAAAATGTTTTCCTTTCCCCTCCTTTTCTGCTCCCTAACCATATTTTGTCGTCTTCTTTTGTCTTCTCTTTCTGCCCCCCCTCTCCTCTTTGCGCCCTCCTCCTTCCTACTAAACTAAAAAATATAACGCGTCACCTACGCTCATATTATGATCTTACGCATTTGTGATTGACGAAAGCCACTTACCAAAACAAAACAAACAAAGCAGTGTGGCTCCACTCATCTAAATTGTATCGATGGGGGCGCAAAAACACCTACATTTAATCTACTTTCAACCTTTGATCGATTAATTTTTGTAGGTTTGTTGATCTGTCCTTGTCTGTCTCTCAGTCTGGCTCCACTCATCTAAATTGTGTTGGTGGAAAGGGGGGGGGGGAGTGTAAAACGCGATAGATCTATTTATGTCTGTGGATTTGTCCTTGTCTCTCAGTGTCAACGGGGACGTAAAAATACCTACATTATTTTAATCTATTTTCAGACGTTGATCGATCTATTTTTGAATGTTTATCGATCTGTCTCGCTTGTATCTCCCTCAGTCTGGCTCCACACGACGTGGGTGAGGCTGGACATGTCCGGAAACTACTCTTGCATCGACGACAGAGGGCAGGACCGGTGGACCGCTGACCTAGTCACGACCAAGGCGTTGTGGCGTCGCTGTGTCGGGAAAATGGCTCTCCTCGTCTCTCTCTGCCTGGCCTTAAGCCTTATCGTGGGCTTTCTGGCCGTCTACATGTGGCGGCGGTTCAGGACTGCGGTGGGGGCGTTCTTTCTCAACATCCTGGCTCCTGGTTTCAAGTGAGAAGATAAGATGAGAAGAGAAAGACCGAGAAACTCGATAAAAATTTCTCCCCCCCCCCCACCCTGGAATCCAACTGATCTCCTTCGTGCGACACTGAAGCGAATAACGTAACACCACAGACAGTGGGTGGTTGGTGGGTGCTCTGGAGCGCTTTGCTCCTTCTTTCCTATCAAACATAATAATATATCGTCCTCATTCCTCCTCTTTTTCTGTGCTTGTTACTCTCTTGTAACGGTTTTAATCTTCGGCATACTATTATGACCTTATTGTGTTGCAAAACCTGTAAAATATTAACCCCTCCCCCCATAGCCAGTGGTGTAACCAGGAGTACCAAGAAGTGACTGAGTCCTCCTCCTCCTCCTCTTTTCCTTTCCCTACTCTCTCCTCCTCATCTTCCTCCTTCTCCCCCCCCCCCAACCCTCTCCTTCTTCTCCTCCTCCTCCCCCAATAACGACTGAAAGCGTGTAACGTGCACTTAGAACATCTGTGTAAGAGGGGGGGATGACGAGAGGAAGAGGAGGAGGAGGAGGAAGAGGATGTAGTGGTGGTGGTTGTTGCGATGTAGGAGGAGAAAGGAAAAAGAGGAAAAGGGGGAGGATGTAAAGGAGGAAGAGGAAGAGGAGGGTTAGGAGAAAGAGAAGGAGAGAAGGAAGAGGAGGAACTGGTACGAAAACAACACATACATTTCCACTAGAGGGGCAATGTTTCTAAACTACCGCACACCCCCGCCACCTAATAGACTCATCATTAACCTTCAGGAAAAATATTTGACAAGTACGTACAGTAATAACCAGTTACCTATCTTTACGTGTCTTTCAGGAAGACACAAATGGAGGATTATGGTATTCATGTGTTTATTGGATATGCCGATGATGACTTCCGCTTCGTTCGCTTCGATCTTCGCAGGTTAGTTTTTTTCTCTTCTTCTGAAGTTTACAGTGAGATCTTTAAATGGGTTTATATTGTGGATATATACCGAGAAATAGTGATAGATAGATAGATAGATAGATAGATAGATAGATAGATAGATAGATAGATAGATAGGTAACTTTGACAACGAAGTCCTGTTATTCTGCATGAAAACACTGACAGCGAAACCCTTGTACTGTGTATGCCAACTTTGACAAAGCCCTGTTATTTTTCGGATTGAGAACTTTGACAAGAAGTCCTATAACTCAGTATGACAACTTTGACAACAAAGTCCTATAACTCAGTATGTCAACTTGCCCATATAGGTACCTGGAGGAAGATCTGAACCTGAACACTTACATCCACCAGCGTGACCTGCGCGCGGGGTACCTTGACCAACAGCTGCTGGACGCTATCCAGGACAGCTGGAGACTGGTGTTGGTCTTGTCCGCCAACTTTCTCCGGAGATACGAGAAGGCGCACCTCGTCATGAAGGTTGCTTTTGCTTGTTTGTTTGTCTGCCTGTTTAATTGTTTGTACGTTTGTTAGTATGTCTATCTGTTTGTTTGTGTGTCTTTTTTGTGTTGCTTACATGCGTAAAGAAAAGAACATCGACACAATAACAGTCTGTTGCTTGTTTGTTTGTTAGAATAAAGAGAAAGCCATCGACACAATCGCTCATTTAGTCAGGAAATAAATATGACTGACAGACAGAAATAATAGAGGAAAAAAAGAAGTAGGTCCTACCTGTGGCACTCTCAACCACCCACGAAGGTCAGAGGTCACTCAAACTGCACAAAAGATAACACAAAAAAGTAAAACCTAATGGAAGGCACGGAGAGCCTGCCGGGGCACTAAAAGTCACTCTTTTGTCGTTGGCCTAGTGGTTAGGCTCTCGGACTCGTAACTGTAAGGTCATGGGTTCGAATCCTGTCAGGGGCCCGACGTTGAGTCCTTTGGATGTCCTTGGGAAAGAAACTTTACAAAAATTTTCCTCACTTCACCCAGGTGGGAATGGGTACCCGGCTATAGATAGCGAAAGATTTTAAATTGTCAGTTTGTTAGTGTTTGAGCGCTTAATCATCTGCTTGCACTGTATGCTTCCCGGGAAGCTGAGAATGTTTCTGAATGTTCTATGGTCTGCTGGGGAAATAATAAAGCGTAAAGCGCATACATCTTGCTGTTGAGCGGGGGTATGCGCTATACAAATACTATTTATTATTATTACTATTAACACTTGAGCTATCTAGACCTATACTTTCTCCTCCCCCCCCCCCCCCCCCACATTCCTTCTAGCGCAAAATTTCAGATGTGAACATTTCCTCCACATTTCTTCTTATGCAAACTTTCAGATGTGAATATATACCCATATTTCGTCTTCAGCAAACTTTCAGATGTGAACATCTCCCTACATTTCTTCTTCTGTAAACTTTCACATGTATACATCTCCCCTACATATCTCATTGTGCAAACTTTCAGATGTGCACGTCTGCCGTGACCCCGGTGAACCCTGACCGCGTGCTGGTGTTGGTCGAGCAAGGTCAAGGCCGCCATGTCCCCGACTACGTGCTGGCGGTGTTGGACGAGGAGAAGTTGGTCAGACTGCACAGCCTCAACGAGGAGCTGGGATACGAGCAGAAACAGCGCATCAAACATCTCATTTTGACGTGAACCATACAGTTCATCAAACTTCACATCCTGTCGTGGACGGCATGGCGCTTTATAATATCATCTTGTCGCTAACGATACAGCACATTAACATTAATTTTATCTCAGACACAGCACATTAACATTAATTTTATCTCAGACACAGCACATTAACATTAATTTTATCTCAGACACAGCAACCAAACGTGCCATCCTGTCTTGAATGGCATTATATCTCATCAAACATCTCATGAAGTCTTGAAGGATACAATTTCCCTTCAAACATCCTATATTGTCCAGAACAATATGCGAGGCAGCGTGGTGGAATCAGGCTCTCGTCAATTTTTGGGCACATCGAGTTATTGGTATCATCTTAAAGCTTGTTCACTGTCTTTATTTGGATGAAAAAAATATCAGTTTATCTTAAATACAAGTCGAGATATTTGAGAATGAAGGATGTGGGGGTCACCTATTTACAGAGGTAAAATTAGTGACAAAATGGTCTGCAAAGAATAGTTATTTCCTTAGCTTAAGAGGCCGTGGTAACTGAAAATTGACATCTTTTGTGCCTTTAATCAACGTTTTTCAGAAAAACCACACAGAAATGAGTTCTTTAATGGGTATGAAAGGTGTTAAGCCCAAAAACAAAAATTTGATAAAAATTCACAAACCTGCGGAAAAATGGAAGTTTCTTCAATTTGATTATTTTGACGAGAGCCTGATTCCACCACGATGCCTCACATATTATATCGTATCAAGCATATCTTTTAATAACCGATATTAAATCGCATCAAACATCAATTCAGCCGAGAAAGACACAGCGCATCAAACTTCCTATCTTGTCGTGAACGACATTAATTCGCATCTCATGAAGTTCTAAACACTATTTTATCGGATCAATCATTTTCTCCTGTCATGAACGATATTTCTTTACTCCAAACATCTCATCTTGTTATGGACGATATTTCTTCATTTAAAACATCCCATCTTGTTATGGACGATATTATATCACATCAAACATCTCACAAAGTACTGAACAATAATATTATTAAGTATCAAATAATATCTTGTAATGCACGATAGTATATTACACCAAACATATTATCTTGTCGTGATCAATACAGCACTTCAAACCTCTCATCTTGTCGTGAACGATATTTATTCGCATCAAACATCCCATGAAGTCTTGAACTATTTAACATCACATCAAACTTCTTATCCTGTCATGAATGATATTATAGTATTGCATAAAACATATAATCCTGTCTTGAGCGATACAGCGCATCAAACTCCTCATCTCAGGTATAACGCATCCAAGATCATCTTGCGAACATGGTTGCAGTGCAGATAAACAATCACATTATAAAAGCTGGCCCATCAATGTCTGACAATGACCAATACATCCATAGAGGAGAATGTTTCTCCTCCCATGCTGTACAGTTAGAAGATTCACAGAGTAAGATACTTATAGCTTCTGCTATGGCCTATGAGACCAAGGCTGTGAAAAGTAGCACTTCCGCTTGTGGATGTGTGCAGCTTGTGGGATTGTCTCATGGTTTCATAATTTTTATTCGTGAAGCCTCATATGATTTGCTGCCCACTGTGACTGCTGCTCTCCAACTGGGTCTGTTCCGAGCAAGGCTCTCATATTTCAAAGAATATAAATACTGTGCTGAAGTCTTCAAGAGACATTTTCAGGGTGTCCTCGTAGCGCTTTTTTGTGTGCACCAACCGTAAGCTTCCCCGAGGACAGTTCAGAACAGAATACTGCCTTTGAGATTCTGAAATCAGGCATTTTTACAACATGGTCAGCCCAGCGAAGTCGAGTTCTTTTGAGTTTAGAAAGCAGTCTGTCGATATATGCCCGTTTGGGAACTTCGGTGTGCAGTATTTTATCCAGCCATTTGACACCAAGAATTCTCCAGAGGCCTTCCATATGGAAATATATTATGTCTTTGGCAGGGGCTGCTCGTGGGGCTAAAAGGTGGGCGTGCACAATTAAGCTATAGCAGGTAGAAGATAGTCAAGTGCATAGTAAATGGATTGTCGCTTTGATTTCTAGATCTAAATCTGTTTGTTAGCTAAACATCAATTTCTTCATCCTGCATTGGAACTGAACACTCAAGTAATAAATTTCACCACAACACTCGTAACCATTCAAAGGCACAACTCACAGGACGCTG